TCTTTCATGAAAGTATTCAGAGTGGATGAGTAGTAAATTTCCAAAAGAATTTATGTGATTATCAAATGTGTCACCACAGTATCTACGCCTATGTAAAGAAAAAGTTGGAAAAATGGGAAATGTACATTTCGCATTTATCTTGAAATTGTTACAAAACCTGGTCTCTGAATTTTAGAGAAGAGTAGTATCAGGTGTTCTGAGAAGTTAGGATCAGTTAATTGCATTTCAATATTTTCATCAAAATATAGAAAGCATCCTAGAGATTGAGATGAATAATTGATATAGAATGGGAAAGTGATGATGATAATCATATATCAATACTTACTGTATTAGGCTGTGAAAACAAGAAATATGGTATTCCATTTTGAGGAGTGATTATTATATTTTCTATATTTATTGGTGAATTATTCAATAACTGAACTTTAAAAATGAATCCATGAGGAATAGTTATAGTTAATGAGCATCCAGTATGGAAATTATTTGGCCAAGACAAATCCAAAAATAAATCTCTATCTTTCAAATTATAAAAAGCGCCGATTGAACAAAAAGAAATTGGTGAAAAAAGAGATTGTTTGGGAAAATTATATTCAGACATCTGAGAAAATCCTTGAATTAGTCTGATTGAATTTTTATTATTGTTAAAATGACTATTTCGAATGGAGAATTTATTAAATGTTCCTTTTAAATCTAATCCTACTTCTGTTGTAGATTCTACTAAAATATTGGATATTTCTAATGATGCATTTGAATTTGATCCAATAATTTGTAAACCACTTGAATTGGATGAAAAATAGGAATCTTTAACAATTGCATAATCATCATTTAAAAATAAATTTAGACCAACACCATGAAAATGGGCATTTTGAATAAGGTTATTTTTCCCATTTACATTTACAATTGCCTCATTGAATACTGTTGGTAAACAGCTGAAAGAAAGGATTGTTGGTAGAACATCTGCATTTACAAATTTTGTACATTGGTTGAATTGAGTAGCATTGTAGCAATCTAGAATCCAGTCTGTTGTTGAAAAGTTCAATTTTGAGTATGATATTCCAGCTGTTGATTGTGATCGGTATTTAGATTAAAATGTTGGCAAACCAGTTGATTTATTTTGAAAAATTGTAAAATACTACTGTTTCTTGTTAAATTGATTTGAACAGATTTTTGTAGTCCATCTTCAGAGTTGAATAAGAAAAGTGATATGTTAATTTTTTTAAGTTGAAAATGGCTACTTTCTTGCTTCAATTTTGATGTTTTAGTAGTGATTAAAACTCTTTTTTCATTTGGTTTTCCAATATATAATTCTCCATTTACTATCAAATGCTTACCTAGATCAAATGATATCTTTGTATTTTGGGATAAAATTTTTAAATCACCATTGATCAGTGTTGTATCTTTGATTCTAACATTTCCACTAAGCTCAACTTTTCCTTTGATATAACCTTCTAAGATGGTTGAATCTTTTTGTTTTTTATCAAAATATTTGAGTGTAGTCAATTGGTGATCTGTATAACTTGGTGATAGATTCACTCTAGCCAACAGGCCATTTCTATTTCCATCATAGACTTTTGAATAAGGATTTTCATGATTAATGTAATTATGTGTCATATTGAATTGGCATTGATCAATTGAATTTGTATCACAAATGCATTGGCAATCTATTTCATAGGTACTTTCTCTATTATCCAAAATATTTCTTGATAGAAAGGGAAAATTCTGTCCTTCCAGTTTCCATTCCATAATAGACTCAATAAAAACATGGGAATAAACTCATCATTTTACACAATTATTGGTGAACTAAAGAGAGAGGCTGACTTAATTTCTGTCTATGTGTACACATACATTCGTCAGCTATATTCTACAATAGAGAAGTAGTATTGAACCAGTATTGTACTATGCAGATAGCACTGATAAAGATAAGCAGTAGTGACCTAGTTTCGCATAGGGCAGTGCATACACATTATGCAGTAATAAAACCTATTGAATTATATAAAGAATATTTGCTATTTGCAACCTAGCATTAATATTACAATTTATTAATCCATAAATTTATGATTTCGAACTAAAACTAGTTCAATTAATTATCAATTATGCTTAAATTCTAAGTTTAGATTATATTCACTATTCAACAGTATTGTATACACAATACTGTTCTTTTTAACATGCATTAATCAGATATACTTCCTCCTTATATGCTGATGCTAAATTTACTAGCTCAATCAATTGAATATCATTATTAAGGTAGAATATAAAAACGGTCAAATATACAATCTACATGTTTTCTTGATTGTTGGACTTGTCCTACTAAAATTGTTACATCTTATGCAACTCTCCAACCTGAGAAATTCAACTATTATTTAGAAGAGGAAAACAATAAAAACATGACCATATTTAGAACTTTTCTTTGTCTTCAAATGTTACTTTTGTTTTTGTGAACATTGAAATTTGTGAACTATCAACCCTTAAAAGAGTATATAAACCCTACGAAATTAACAGTTGATAGTTCAGTTTTCTAACCGTCAGCTAGTTGTTTAAACTAGCTTGTTTAGAACTAGAAGCTCATTTTACTCAATACATATTCTTTGCACGAAATACTGGTGTTTTGTTAATCAATTTCTACCGAAATTGCCTTTGTTAGACTATTTGTGGACGAACTTTAAAGGTTCTATTTGGACCAGTACTTTGGCAAGTTGGTAAATGATTGGAAAGGACGATTACAGTTGTGACGAACCAGAAATTCCTACAATTACAATACAACAAAGTACACTATGAAAAATTATTAAGTGAGAAGAAGATATTGAGAATGCAAAAAAAAGTCTACACAGAAATTCAAAAGGAACTGTTTTCCATTTGGGAAAACTTTAAAGTTGGTGACATCACAGCAAGTCAACTTGTTGAGATGTGTTCTGCTTTATATTATTAAATATGTGCAGTAGTAATTCAACAGTATTAAAAATATCAAAAATGTTCAAGTCATTTGAAAAATTATGTTCTTAAATAAACTTTTTTACTTGCAATTTCATGGTTTTCATTTTCTCAGATCATTAGTATTTAATCAATTAAGAAAAATATATTAATTCCTTTCATCTTCTCTATTCCTATTTAATAATTTTTTTAATACTATGTGGACATTTACTGTTCATTTGTGGACATTTTCTGTCGTCTGTGGATGTGTTCTGTTCATCTGTGGACATTTTCTGTCCATCTGTGGACGTTTTCTGTCAATTGTGGACGTTTTCTGTTGTGGACGTTTTCTGTTGTGGACGTTTTCTGTTGCCCACTTATTATAGAAATGGATTAGAATATGTCTTAAAAAAATAAATGAATTCAAATGGTTTTAAAATATCATTAACATTTAGCAACCAACATTCATCAGAAAAAATCTCTCTTCCTTTTCAAGATTTTTAAACATTGTACTATTTCTTTGTAAGTAAACAAAATTTAACTAAAATATGATAACAAAACTCTAGTCATCCATTTTGAGTAGGTTTGACCTATTCAAAACACTATGGAAACAATGAAACAACACTGGAAGAAAATTGCTGATGGAACAAGAATTTGTGATAAATATTGCATTGGAGATAATTATAATAACTTATTCATTGGTGGCAAAGTTGGATCTGCTACTATTTTTACCAACATTTCTCTTATCATATCGGCTATTATCACTGCTTTCATAGATTTAAAATTCTAACATAATCCTTATAACAATCTTATAACCTAAATCTATTGTTAGTCAATAGTGGGCATTTTTTCACAAGCTGTAACTTGAGAGCCATGGCTATTGTCACCACTTTTTTAACAATGACTAATCTATATTATTAATATACACAAACTGGGAGCTGTATTTGCAAAGCACAAATAAAAATGGCTACGAAATCTAATGATAATGAAACTGAGGAATTGACAGCAGGAACTAGTGATTTAAAATTAGATTCTGAGCACTTTGAATGTAAAATAAAAATACCAATAAAACTACTGCTTCATCAAAGGTCAGACAGAACTGTCCTAGACAAAAAGCGCACACCCTTGGATATAGCTACTGAGGATCATCCTAATGGAGTATTTTTCTACCCACGACTGGTGGACAATGTAATATTCTTTATATTAACAAGAAATATTTTTATTGTAAAAATTTTATTTATTCTATTCCATTAAATTTATATAGGTTGGAGACACACAACAAACTATTAAATTATACAGCGATTGGGATAAAGAAAAAAGAATATTTCATTTGAAAACAATAAATCTCAACTTAGAAAAAAAAAAATTACCATTTTTCCACGTGACTTTAAAGGAAATGAGGAGAAACCAGGACTTTTAACTTATAGTAAAAATATATATACAATACCTTTATTTTGAAAAATCAAGAAATGAAGAAAACATTTCTTTATACATTTAAACAGATGTTTCAAAGGATGGCAAATGTGATTTCGAAAAGTCTCAATTGATCATTGAATGGAATCAAGATACAAGCATGAATGCAACTTTGGAGGAAAAATTGGATAGAGTTCGGAATATAAGAATTGGAACATTTAATATTAAAAAGGGAAAGATTGAGCAAGAAATTTCAAAAGTATTAGACATTTCTTTTGGTATTTTCATCACAATTTAGAATTTCTTTCAGGTCATACAAAATTTTGATTTGCTTGCCTTACAAGAATTGAAAGTCGAGCCTATAGATTATAGAGAAATATTGACAAATTTAAATAAAGAGCTAAATGAGAAAAATCAATGTCCATATTACATAATAATTGGCGGAAAATACCACAATGAAAACTCTGCTTGTCTTTACAATACAAAATATTTTGTTAATATTTGCAACACTGACAGTAAAGATTTCGATTGTGCAAAAACATTGGAGGGTAAAGGAGAAAATCTTAAAGTGTTGATGTATCAATTTTTTCGACCACCACTTATTGTTTCTTTTCAAACAAAATATTGTGAATTGGATACATTTACCTTTATTTCTTTGCATACTAACCCTAATAAGAATGCAACAAGTAAACAAATTGAAAATATATTACATTGTTACCCTTCAACAGTTACAGGGATAAACAATCTTTTCAAATTGTCAAAAGATATAACAACAGAATATCATGATGAGGTTGTGATTCTCTTGGGAAAAAAATATTAGGTCATTCCATACTATTTTCAAACAGTAAATTGTAATTTTTTTTCAGCATTTTAAAAATTTGATTATTGGTGGAGATCTTAATTGGTCTGAACAATATCTTTCACATGAGCCAAATGTACCAGAAGAATTTACTTTACGTACCCCAAAGATCAATACCAATCAAATTAAAACAGAAATATATGACAGGTATAATAGTAATTTGTTTAGTAATTTCTCTTATTATTGATATTAAAGGTTATACATATATGGAACTGACTTGGAAAAAGCTATAATTAGAAATAGTGGAACAGTTTATTACAACATAACATTCAGTGACCACTTTCCAGTTGGATTTGAAATTCAATTCAAGATAAACTTAGAGGAGAAAATTCCTAAAGGAATAATTCATGTTCCATTTCAAAGTGAAAATCAGTTGAAAAGTTTGCAAGATTATTTTGATCCATTTTACATAATGAAACCTCACAATTTGTTTGATGATATGTGGCAAAAAAATGACTACTATACATGGCCAAAGATGTATCAAGTTAAAAAGCATTTTGATGATCATATTTTCAAAAATATTCTTCGAAGCAATTATAACACATTTTTTATGAAGACTTCAATATATATTGTGGACAATAATAATCATGGAGAATACTCATGTATTACAGATTCGAAAAGAAATTGCATAATATTTTACACAGAAGAAAATAGATTTGAAGAAGACTGTAATAAAAAATACAAAGAGGAATTTATAATAAACTTTGTGGAAAATAATCAGCAAACTTATAAATATAAATGTAAATGTGCTGCATTCTACAATGAAAAATTTCAGTTATTTAAATGTTACAATATGTCTACAAATGACAAAATCATTTTATATAAAGATGATAGTAAAATTATTAACCAAGGGAAAATATACTATTTCAATTTTCTGGTACAAAGTGAAATTCCAGATCCTTATGAAAACTAGATGTCAGTTTTCTTCACTTTGATAAGTACTTTGGATATCATTTGGCAATTGATTTACTAATTTTCTTTTTTCTTGTTATTGCACAATTTTCATTATATTTTATACTTAAATAATGTTTGGATGGTTCATTATTATCATTTGGATTGGTATTTTAATTCTGATTCATTTTATGTAAATCTTTTTCAATTGTTTGAAAATGTGCACTTGGAAATAATGGCATAATGATATTTAGACCTTAGATATGATAGAACTTTAGAAAGACTTTTCTTTTGTAGCCATGAAAATGGTGGAACATCGAAAAAACTTTTATTTCCTAGAAATTATAATGGTGGAAGTTTTGAAAGATTTTTATTTCATAGAAATTTTAGTTGTGGGACTTTAGAAAGTCATTTATTTCGCAGGAAATAGATTCTTTGACCATAACAGATGGTGCCACTTTGGAACTAACAAAGGAACAAACAATATAGAAAAATGCATGTCAAAGTTGTTACATCTTTTTCAAAAACAGATATGGAAGAGGCAGGTTTGCTTTTGAAATGCCACATGCTAACCATGTGTGATATAACAGTTTTCATGTTTTTGTTGTTCATGCATTATGAGACTGTTACATTTCAACTTTGTAATCCTTTGACCAAGTGAACTCAAGCTTTTGGTAAATGTGTAAAAGGAAATACATTTCCCAGCTTGGCAGTTCAGTTCTTTAACCCTTAGCTGCTTGTTAAAACTTACATGTTTAGAACTAGAAACTCCTTTAATCAATACATATTCTTTGAATGACACTGAACTGGTGTTTGTTGATTGATTTCTACTGAAATTAAATTTCTTGAGACTATTTGTAGAAGAAGTTGAAAGGTTCTGTTTATGTGAGTATTTTGGTGCATTGATAAATGATTGGAAAGGGTGAATATTGTTCTGAAGAAGCAGAAATTCCTACAATTACAATACAACAAAGTACATTCAAAATTCTTTATGTGGTTTTTAGTTGTTACAGTTATTGAAGCTTAGGCTAAAACAAAGCTTGAAAATACGTATCGGATGCTTTAGATGTTAGTAACTTTTAGTAGGCCTTATCACACATTAATTTGGTCTAAAATGCAGTATAAAATATAGTATAAGCTTTTCGAAAATTAACCTCTTTTGTTAAAGTTAGATTCAATCACACATGCAAAATATTTTTCTATTTCCTAATAATGAGAGGATCATTATCTTTGCAACAAATCATCAATTGGATTTATTGTCAAAGGGGAAAATTTGGTTCCTTGATGGTACTCTTTTTGAGTGAAACTGTACCCATAATAACATAGTTACCTATTACGGGTACATTTTCCCATGGGTATGGTTTCAATTAATAAGTTAGAATAACTTCTAATTAAAAAAAGCTAAACAAAGACATCAGGGAATTTTTGAGGAAGAAACCATCATTCTTTTATCAGAAAGGGATAGATTTCCTTCCATCCAAATGGGAAATATTTAGGAGTAAAGTGGTTGATTTATCTAGAGTAGACTATTGGCTGTAATATAAAAAAAAATGTTAAAATAACTAAACTATTATTAATAAAAACACAAAATGTGTAATACTTTCAGGTAATACCTAATACTTCAAAACATACTGATTTCTTTGATTGTAATCTAACAAAAATCAATCTATGAAAACTGCTCTGAACTGGAAGTAGTTAACTTTGGTAAGAGTGATATATTCATATTAAAAAACTCTTAAAGCATTTCTCTAATATTCAAATAATTTTGTGGAAAGCAGACAGCTAGACAACCATATCAATCTCTATTAGGTTTTCAAAACAATCATTTTTTACCTAATACCCACAACATCTTTCAGTGTCTTTTTTAAAAAAGTTGATAATGTTTGTAACACTGCAAATTCAATTAACAAAGATTGTTTTTCAAACTCTGTGTTTTTGTTTTCTTTCTAAAGTTCCTTCAAAATATTAGGAAATAATGTTTTATAAATCATATATCAGAATTCCTGCTATTATATTTACTTTATTTGTAATAAATGAAAATAGATTATACAAATTTTTTTTTCTGTTAAAACAACAAACCATATCTAATTGGAAAATCTACCTCTTAAGTATAAACATACAGCTGTAACAATTATAGTAATTGTTATTACACCTACACATGATATAATAATTATTAGCGAAATTTTATCATTAACTGTTTTATTGTCCTCTTTTACATTAGGCTCAGTACTGCTAACACTGTTGATATCAGATGTTGAAGACATTTTATCTGTGAAATCCTCTTCAATAGTTGATTGTTTATTTCTCTTTGTGCTCTTTTCTTCTAATTTATATGTAGTCATCTTGCTTGTAGTACTTCTGAAACTTGTCATCTCTTCTTTTGTTATTGTTGTCATATCAACTTCATCAGATGCCTTTTGAACATATACAGTAAATGAAAAAGTGCTTGAACAAGGAGCATGAGAGTTGTCAAATACAATGACACGATTTTCATACTTTCCAACTGGTAGAGGATATTTTATTGTTACAATCTCTGATGAATTTTCTTTCAATTCAATTACATTCAATTGTTGTTGAATTGTTTCTAATTTGTAGAGAATTTCACCTTTTGGACCAGAGTCAGCATCTTCTGCTTCTATTTTAGTCACAAATGATCCTAATGGTGTATTTGAGTTCAATATAATCTTATCATTCAATTGTGAACTCTTGATAACTGCACATTCATTTATATCATCAACATTTATAGTCACCAATGTTGAAGAAGATAATTTCAACATTGTATTTTCAATAGCCAATATTTCAACATTATAGGTTCCTGGTTGGAATTTTCCACTAGATCTCAACACTCCTGATACTTCATCAATTGTTACAGGAATATCTGAATTGAGTAAACTATAAAATATTCCTTCAGTAGATCCTTTATCTGTATCGTTTGCTTGAATCTGTACAAGATATTCATTCAAGGAAATCAGTTCATCAACATAAACTGTATAATTTTCTTTCAAAAACTGTGGTCTCTCTGTATTTGGTTGTATTTTTTGTGAACAATCTTCACTAGTAAAACCATTCTTACATTGACAAATATTTGGTGCAATGCATACACCATTTCCAGAGCAACCTGATGTGCAAGAAGTTTCTGAGCATGTTGCTCCAAACCATAGTTGATCACAAGAGCAATTATCAAAAGAAATACAACTGCCATGTCCAGAGCAAGAGTTTAAAGCCTCACATGAAAATTGAGAGCAATTGTTGCCTGT